GTAGACGTTCTTCGCCCACATCCACACGCTTCGTTTGTGACCAGAATGAAGGTTTTCCCAGTGTAACTTTAGCCGTTGTATGCTTCGAGTTAGATGGCATTTCTGCTGGAAAATATAGAAAAATGCTGCTTGCCGCTGGTAGAGTATCTTGCATCTAGTATTTTTCCGCATTAGATAGCAAGCTGTGGCTTTTGCTATTGAAATAAGCGTTTAAAACTGTATCAGAAGATGGGCTTCTCGTCGCCGATACAAACACTTTTGCATAACATGATAGGTATTCTATGGATTAAGCCGCATGTTTGCTGTTATGAATAGATCATCTGATCGATACAATCAGTGAGTTCAAAGATGAAGTGTTAGAGATGGTACATTTCAGACAATTATTGGTAGTGGTATAAAAAATGTACCAGGGGATGACTTGCAACAGCTGAATATTCCGAGCGGAGTAGGGTTCGAATCAAAAGAAAATCTGTACTTAGTGGACAATCTGAATAAACGTATTCAAAAATTTGATTTTGCTGGTGATGATCTTTGGTATCGATCAGTTCTTCATCTGAACTGGTATTAGTTGTAACTTTGTTTTTATTGAAGCGCATAAAAGATGAATAAATAATGTTATAATTTAATGGCATATTTTTCTTCACTTTACTTTAGCTTTCGTCTGTTAGCTTTTCTGCAATTCCAAACATATTTCCCAAAGCCTTACAATTTCCAAAATTCTAGAAGAAGCGATTCGAATCCCTTGCTATGCATGCATATTATATGAGGTTGCTCTTCACTTTTATGCCTAACTCAAAGAACATCAATCGAGATCGTTATCTTTCGGAACTTTACAGATTATTTACTGGGTAACATTGATGGTATAGTATAACGTAATAAATTTTTTTTAGTTGTGCTATGTTAATTCTTCTTTGAAATTCATGTAGAATCTTTCTTACTCTGAATACAAGCTTTTCTGATTTTTTTTTGTAGCTACATTTCTCTTGATCCTCCTGCGACAATCTGAACTTTTTATCAATGAATGCACATTTTCTAATACGTAACTATCTAAATATATCGAATGGTCTCATCTTAAATTTCGCCACATATGATCCCTTGAGCAGTGTATGCCGATGCAGAACAAACGTCCTACAAAAGTGTAAGGTAGCAGTCTCTGTCGTTTGCTCTAGTCAAACAAAACTTGTTGATGTAGTGATTACAAAAGCGCTATTTATGTAACAAACATATCTCTACCCATAAACTATGGTAGACACCTGTAAAGGCTTCATCCACATTACTTTCAATGTTCTATCTTTCTAGAAGCTCAAAACCTAGTTTTGATAACATGCACTTTCTTGAAGGTTTTTCAAAAGAAATGTGTTCCACATTGATGACAATACACCTGATTACGAGGTCGGAATCAGCTTCTCAATCAGCGTAGATCCATTGAGAGTTTGCGTTTCAAGGATGTTTTAACAGATCTTAAAAAAAGATCGAAAACCGTTTACTAAAGCCAAATGAGAAACATAGCAAAGCTAAAATTCAGCCGCAGTTAGCCTGCTATACCAGTCAATTTACCAAAAATTTCAATCTTTCTACACTATTCTGGTTTTGATCAATCCCATTTCACTCAAAAACTTGAAGTTTTCGATCATCACGAAGTACTGTGGTAGCTATCGTTTCTATGACTTCTGAAACAGAAATTTGTCAAAGGTAAAAAATTTACTAGAACCTAGCTTAAGTCTTTTTAGAAAGTATAATCAAAGCTTTAGTTGCATATGTTAATGTTACAATTTAAACTGTCTGTCTGACCTTTCACAGACTATAGCTACTGAATCACTGTTCATTGAATTTTTTTAAACTGAAATCTCAGTCGAAAAGTTTCTTATTTCCCAAGCTCTCAATTGTTACTTGTCATTAGAGTTTTCGTCATTGTGAAGTTCCAAGAGATTGGCAGACACTTGATATACATCTGTCAGTTCATTTAACAGAGAGAACAACTGAACATAGTACTTTTATTAATTAGTTCTGGTTAAAAATTACATTGTTAATCAAAAAGAAAAAAAGATTAGAGCAAAGGAGTTCTTGTCATGTTCTTCACTTTTTTCTTTTCTAAGTGCTTCCACAAAATGTCAGTTGTGCTGGAAAATGTTCTTGCGCTTGTGTACAAAGACTGCCACCAAGTACTGGTCCAGATGGAAATGTACCAACTGCATTACAGCTAGTTTGCGGCATGCCCCAATTTTCATATGCATTTGATGTCCATACACAACAATTATCACTTACTTTTGATTTATATGTTTTACCTTTAAAGTGAGTTGCAATTGTTTTTAGAACAGCTTCCGATGCTCTCTTATAACCACTTGCACAATGTCCACCACTACCATCGAGATAATAGCAGTGATTTGAGTGTGAAACTTCATATTTTGCACAAGTCTTGTTACCTTTGTAAAGAGAAAGAACAGCAGTTTTAATTAGAGAACCAGTCTTTAGAGAAATGCTCGTCTTACCTTCACTGTTGACATTCAATGGTGATGCATTTGATAGAGCACACCAAAATGCAATGGCTAGTAAAAAAACAGCGTATATACTTGTTCGGATATGACTTCAGTCGTTCTCATCTGCCCCTTTTTTTTTGACTTTGAAAACTCTTAAAATGTTTTTATGAACATATTGATTTTGAAAAGTTTTTTCAAAACTTTCAAATAACTTTTCCATAGTGTGTAAACGTACGAAAAAGTGTACTTTTTTGAAAATGTCCACATTTTTTAGCGATTTGAGACATTCCATCTCCTTCGTCGGCAATCGTCAGCGTTCACGAACTCCTATCCACTGATAACGTCAGCATAATGTCGATCTCAACTATAAGATCTAGTGCAGAATAAGAGCGGAGTGGTTGCACTATGCTGAATGAATAGCAGTCGTGATACCTGATTTCTTATTCTAAGTGCTTAATTCCAGAAAAAAATCGTTCCAGCAAGGTATCACCTGTTTCTACAATTGGAGTTAAACGCGAATTTGCAAAAGTACAGTGGAAATACTTAAAGCTCATTTTCCTTACTAAAGGAATTTTGGAACGTCAAGTTTTAATGCTTCTAACGGCTTATACGGGCCTTATAAATCAATTCTGTCTTGAAAATGCGCTTTTTTTCTATTTGTATAAGCCTATCGACTTAGAAATACTCGTTTCAGAATAAAAGGCGAGAATCGATTGCCTATAATGAAAACTTTCGTCAAAGTGAGAATAAACGTGAGTATTGTCAGCCGAAATATTCAAAAAAGATACTTTTCCGTACATAATCTTGTGTGAAGAAGTGAAAGGTTTGACCTTTGGATAAAAAAGCATCAAATTAAGTTGTTCCTTCGGAAACCGCATCTTTTTGCGATCATTTTTAAACAAAATGATGTAAATTCGCGGTCTTCGTTAGAATGACACTACAAAGAGCTGTTTGTATACTGTCGGATCGGACCACCTGTTTAGTCAACGACAGTTCAATTTTGTGAGTGAGTATACGACAGATCGGCAACCTTAATTTTTTTTATGTCATGAAATGAAATGGATCATGTGTAAAGAAATCTAAACAGCACTGAGAGCAGTTGCCATATGAAAATACAGTAAGATTACTGTTAATAGGTGAAAAGTGTAAGTTCACACCAATATCCTTTAATCAAGACTGTGATATTATCAACTTCAGGCTAGGAATTATAACTGAGTGCTGACGTCAGCATGTGACAGTCGCTCCTCTTCCTTCGTTAGCCATTGGGACTTTCCATTCTCTCTAAAAGTCCGCTAGTCACTTTTCAATAATTAATAAGTAAATAAAAGAATCACTCTCACAATAACAAGAATTTATTGCTTTTATAAAAAAAAAATCATTTTTTTATAAATATTAGAGTAATAATTTTTCTCTATTTTCTTACTAGAAGAATAAAACGTTGAAGGTAGGGAATATCGAACAGATCAAACACAAGATTAATACAGATAAAGCTTTTCATTTCAATTTTTAAAATGAAGAATATAACGAATTTGTTCATTCTTTTTTTCCGAAGACACTTTCGGTTTTCGCATTGGTAGGGAGAAGAAGAAAGAAAAATTATTAAATTTTTCTAGTAAATTTTCTCGCTTTGTTATGCATTGATGATTTCAACTATGGGTAGTTTCACCATAAATCTCCCGCGTTATACAAAGTATCTCCGATCAAGCTGAAACTTTCAGCAACTGGACGCCTCACCACTCTAAGACTTTTAGTAAAAAAATTCTACGGATTTTCGATCGGTATGATAGTTTTTTTGAGACTACAAAATATCATCTTATTGTCTATAATGACCTTTTTCATCATTTTTCATCATTTTGAGGAATTGACCTTTTTCAATTAATACAAGCCATAATTGGAAATTTATATATGACCCTAAAGTACTAAGTTAGTAGATTCTGCACACCACTATAACAGCTCGTTCATATCATTTATATATAGATTGGCCCGATACGAGATTATGTTAAAAATGTGAAAATAGTAAAAATAGCCTATTTTCGGGTATGCTTTTTAACGTCATAATACCATGATTAGTCATTGGTTTTAGCCTCACTGAACACATATATCTAATGACTATCTAAGGCTATAAGAACTATATGTTCAAAGTGTTTCTATTGATAGATAAAGTTATGCACATAGTTACCCTAGGGCTCCTTATAATGAAAAAGTCACATATTGTGATCAAGATATCTCACATAAGCAGAATTCAGGAGTATATTAGATAATAGTGTGGTGAAGTACTAGCCCTAGTCTATTAATTATTGTAGCTAGTTTATCTCGGTTCTTTGAATTTCTTGAGATTGGACATAGTAAAAAAAGTCCATTTTCGGATAGGGTATTCCTTGAGGTTCCAGACATACCTACAAAAACTACGACCAATTTTAGTCAAATTTTCAGCGTTTGTAGAGCTTTTAATTCTTAATATTTTGGTAAAAGAAATTTAGCAAATAGTTTTTGAA